TAACTTCTTAGATTTGTGTGTTTTATCTACCCATGCAGTTTAAAAAGAGAACCCAGAAAAGTTTAGAGTTCAAACGTGTTTAGATCGCCCTTCCTTGTTTGTTTTTGAAAAAAGGCCCTTTGCCTCTTTTGCATATAAGTATTCATACATACAGATTTATTTAATTAATATATAATTTCATCAATGAATTATATTAAAAATATAGATTTAATTAACATTTTTCCTTTCTTTTTTGGCCAAAGTTCAACGATACGAATAATGAATAATCCAAAATTTTAAACTTTTTCCAATAAAATTACATATCTACGTAGTTCGATTAAGGAGGCGAAACTCTACGATTATACGTATGATGAAAACATCATAAATTCAAACTTTGTCGCTGAGAATGGAAAATATTTAAAATCTGAGGAACAAGATTTTCCAAAATTAATAATTTTTTTTAATTATATAAACTTTAAGCAGTGTCTTTTCAGAACTGTGCATTATGCATTTATTTATTTTTTTTAAAATTTCTTTATTATTAAATACTTCTTCAGACCAATAAGAGAAATATACAAATTTTCCCGAAATATGTTTTAATCTGTCAAAACAACTTTAAAAATTTGGTGTCCGGTCTTTAAACACAAAAATTATAAAATTTCCTTTTACGATTTAATGTATTTAAGGAATAAAACTTTAGTTTATGTAAATAATGAGAATAATATAAATACGAAGAAATGAAAAAATATAAGTGCTTTACAAGTAAATGAAATTGGTATAATGCTTTTAAAAGTACTGTGGTTTTTTTTTTTTTTTTTTTCCAGTTCCGCTTTCCGAAATGTTTCATTAATTCCCCTTTGCTTCCGATTGCTCAACAAACGCCCACACGACTGTCTTTCTTTATGTCTCGTGTTCACAACGTCTGTTCCTGTACGATTAAATCTACATAATAACAGGACCGAGTAATTCTAAATTAAAATGTAATCTTAATTATCTAATTAATCTTAATTCTAAATTAAAATGTAATCTTTAAAAAAATTTATACAAAATGAAAATTTAGAATTGTACACAGCCCCTTAAAGAATAAAATATCATATATTTCACATCTACGGCTTTACGGACTGGGAATATCATTTTACGGATTATTATTAACTAGGAGTATGATATACGGCTTTACGAATTGGGAATATGATTTGGCCTTTACGACGAACTGTTAAAAAAATAATCGACGTAACGTCTACATTGATAAGCATAATGCACAATGTTCCAAAGACCTAGTTTAAATTTATATGTGATTATCCACATAACACAATCGTATGATTAATTCTATTCACTTTAAGTATCTTTTATAGAATATTTCACATTTAGTACATTTGTATAACATATTTCATTAAATGTAAGGCAACTTTCTTATGTAAAAGCTAAATAATGTTCATTAATTTTAAAAGTTATATAAACTTGTGGTGATATTTATGATATGACACTAAATAGTTTTGCTATAAGATTTGGAAAAAATAAGAAAATAGCCATACATTTTCTAGAAACATTTAATTTTTTTCTGGAAACATGTTTACTGGAAACATTTTTTCCAGGATAATTTTTTCAGGGACATTTTTTTTAACACCGTGCGTAATAACACTGCGTAATAACAGTACCGTGTGAAATAAATTTTCGTAATGATAATTTTTTATCAAATAATACAGTTGTCCATTTATCCGCACTTCCTGTTATCTGAGGTAATCCACATTACCTTAAATGATTGAATTCCACACATATGATAAGAAAACCTAATTAAACAAAACTTATATAAAAGACTTAATTACTAAAAACCTACATAAAATATTTATCAGGACAGAGAATAATGCATATTAATTAATTTTCAGATTTAAATAACACTGTCTTTCATGTTATTTTTTCCCGTGCAATTCCCGTCTGAGTTATTTATTCTAGCTGAGTACTTCTTTCTCTTCATCATTGTCTCGGTCCTGTTATTATGTAAGAAGTATTTAAATTCTTTATAAAAATGCACTAAAAATAAAAATTGTTAGCAAATAAACGCATTGCACAATTTACATACTACATTTACATATAACATATAAATATATATGTAAACAACATGTCTAGAATTTAATTGCACACTTTCGACACGTACATTTCGTTTCCATAAAGAGTGTAATCTCTTATCATATGTTTCTATGTTTACACAATAGGCTAGGTTGTTTAAATATGGCAAGGCACACAAAGGCTATCAAGCTTAGAGAAAGGATGCCTGCGATGAGGGCTTTCTCGATACCAACCACGAAGCCAGCCTCTTTGCCTGAAATGGCACTGCGTTCAAACTCCTAGCATTCAGCGATTTTAACCATTCGACCACTAATAGGGGTCATGATTACAGTAAGATTAAAGATTATAATTTATAAATTCGAATGCTTTGCGAAACGTTTTGTTCATATAAAATTAAATGTGAAACAAAACAAAAAGATTCAATAAAAAATGAAAATGCGTCAAAAAACGTGCAGAGTGACTTTTAGATTTAAAGCTCATAGCTCATTTCTGATTTTCCTGGTAGACTCAATCTTAAGTTTCTCAAGTAAATGGTTTTCTTATAGTCTTATAGTATGATAGTGGCTGTGATCTACATGCATCTGGTACTCGCTGCTCGACAATACGTGGATAAATATCGATAGAGACCTCGAGATACGTAATTAATAAAGTACTTCTGATAAAACTCAACATTCAGATCATTACAATAGTCCAGTTGTACAAAAAAATATGACACGGAAGGCTTTTTACCACTTTACTTAGAGTATAATATGCTTATATAAGACATCTCTATAACTAAAACTTGGATGTTGGATTGCTGTATTTTTTACTCTTTTTATTTTAATTCTACACAGATATTTTTATTCTAACTAGACTCATCTCTCTTTCTATATCTTCATTTTACTTCTAATTGTTTATCATAAAATTTCAGTCTAATTATTTTAAGATTCAATTACTATCTGATATTTGATTTAAAGATCTTTTTCTTTGGGTTTGAACCATTTTAAAATAATTAAATAATTTATTCCGATTTCAAAACTCTGTTTACTAGCTTTTCTCAGTAAAGATGCTAATATTCGTTACCTGAAAGGAACCTCGAGTTTGATTTTTTATTAAATTTTTAATCTGTTCCAGCACTATATACAAAAACTGCTCATTAGTTTTAAACTAGCAATAATGATTCCAGATACACTGAAAATAAATCAAATTGTAAATTGCTTAGCTGACATTTTTCAGTTCACAGAAATTTTCCTGGTGTTCAACTACTAATAACATATACTAACTGTGTTCAATAATGGAACACCTGCTTATTTTTACTTAACAAACTGTAAAACGTCATTTGAGCCTGAAGGGGAAACAGGTGGCTCCTGCCTCGAGAAAACCATTGTTTGACAATTAGGTAAATAATGTATGTCTGATGCTCCAAGTCTTAGTTGTACCTGAAACTCGGAAACTTAACTGCATTTTCTGTCAGAGAAGCCAACATGCCGTTACACTATATCATCAGCCAAAAGAACCGTAAACAACTTATGGTGAAAGGATACATCTATAATTTTGAACGTGCTAGTGCTGAGAAAAGTATTTGGAAATGTGTAGAGTATTTTACTTGTAAGTGCAAAGGGCGAATTCACACTCAAGATGATAATATCATTCTTGAAAAATCTCACGGGCATCCTCCAAATGCTGGCAAAATTACAGCGAAAGAGATTATGAGTTCAATTAAAGAGCGTGCGGTAACAACGCAAGAATCGACACATTCTTTAGCAGCAGTTGGTACAATTGGTCTTCCTTGTGCTGTTTCGGGGCATATACCACCAGTGGAAAATATTAAAAAAATTATCAGATATGCTCGACACACGGAGAAATGCCATTGCATAATCCTAGATGTCTTGAAGAATTAGTAATCCCAGAACAGTTTTCAAAAACACTAAAAGAAGAGAAATTTTTGCTGTATGACAGTGGAGCGCAGACAGACAGAATTCTAATTTTTTCGACCCTCAGAAATCTGGACTTCATGGCTGAATGTCCGAACTGGTTTGCTGATGGAACTTTTAAAGCAACACCACCGCTTTTCAGTCAGATTTATACAATCCATGGTGTTAAATATGATAATGTGATACCTTCAGTGTATGTATTAATGCCAAACAAACGCGAAGAAACATACAATAGAGTGTTTACGGTGATAAAATCTTTGAAACCGAATCTGCAGCCCAAAACTGTAATGACTGATTTTGAAAAGGCTGCCATAAATGCCTTTAAAAATTCCTTTCCGAATATCATTCAGAGAGGATTTTTTTTTTTTCATTTAAGTCAGTGTGTGTATAGAAAGATTCAGTCTGCAGGTTTGCAAAGTAAATATGAAACTGATCCGAATTTCGTTTTGGAAATCTCTCAACTTGCAGCTTTGGCTTTCGTTCCTACTTCAGATGTCATTGAAGCATTTGAACAATTAATATCTACTTATTTTGTAAATAATATGAACATCATTCAGCCAATCATAAATTATTTTGAAGACACATGGATTGGTAGATTTACTCTCGTCGTGGACAACGTCGCAGACCAGTGTTTGACATCCCTCTTTGGAACTGTTATGATGCTGTAAAAGATAAAGTTCCAAGGACAAATAATGCGGTTGAAGGATGGCATCGCAGATTCAACGAACTTATGAACGGATGCCATCCAACAATCTGGAAATTTATTGATTGCTTAAAAAAGGAACAAAATTTAAATTCTATAAAAATTGAACAATACATTGCAGGTCACCATCCACCAGTAAGTAGAAAAGTTTACAGAGATACATCTCTCAGAATTCAAAAGATTGTAAATGATTATAATGATCGGCCTATTTTAGACTATTTAAGGGGAATAGCCTACAATTTTCAACTGCAGGTGTAAATTTTTTATACATTAATTAATGAGGATGTTTAATGTCTGATATAATTATACATGTTTTTATTACTACAGCTTTAACATGAGTCGTAATTACATTATATTTTCTGAAAAATATTAGGCGAACTTTTTATGCTCTTAGAGTTGATATTTACAATTATACTAGCTTTCATGAATATATGTGAATGATATTTTACTCCATATAATGTGTTTATTGAAGCCTTTGGTATAATGTGTTTTTTAAGCCTCTTTGGTATACACTCTTTGGTAGTATAAATCAAATTTTATTTCATCAGAGAAATTATGAACGACAAATGATGATGCCTTGTTCGTTTAAATATCATTTATTAACTGAAACGGTATGCGAAGCTAAAATTTATTGGAGATTTGGTATTAACAATAACGATATTTTTGAAAAATTCCTATCAATTAAAATTTTATTTCGTTTCATTTTTCATTAATTCATGTTTGTGTGAGAAAATGACTTTAGAGTATTTGTTTACAATGGATAATTTTTTAGCTTAATAAGCTATCTATATTTTAATAAAATTCAGTAAATTTAATACCATTGTGGATGCATATAAGACGAAATTTTCAATTTCTATTCCTTTCTGAAATCATCCTGATCAGGCAGCTTAATATTAAAGAATACGTTTAAGAGTATTTTTTTTAACTCGTAAAGCAATGGGAGATATATTTACTTAATTTTATCTCAAATAATAAGATTAGACTTTTAATGGCTTTTCTTGTAACTTACTTTGATATATCAAACTTATATATGTGGGCACATCTTATATGTAAGCCCCTTTTGTCTTTCTGAAAGATTCTTAAAAGACAAAACTTTTTCATATATGACACCATTATGTTTTGAGACAATACGGTATTTTATTGCGTATTTCTGCATATTTAAAAGGGGGAAAATTTGAAAACTGAGGTAAGAGATTTGCTTTTAAATCCCTAGTCATTTCAATTTTGATCAATACTGATTATATAACATAATTTTAAAAATAATTTATTATATGACAGTAATGTAAATTTAACGTTAAAAATCCTTAACAGCAGTTTTTCATTTGCTAAATATAGAATGATATATAAATGGAAGTTTTATTTGATAAATATGAAAGGTATTTTAGAGAGTTTCATGTTTTTCTGCAATGGGTAACACACTATAAACATCGGTCTTTTGCTACAAAAATACATTCTCAAAATATGCTTATGGTTTTCCATGTATAGCTTATTCGCAAATATTTATGAAGCAATATTAAATATTAGTTCTAACTTAGGCGGAAATTTCTGCTATGTTTACAGTTTTCTCGCGCTCCTAATTTTTTAAATGTATACAATGAAGTATTTATTATTTAATTAATTTTTTATAACTGCATTAATAGATGGTACATTATTTGCAAAGTTTTGACATGATATCACCTTTTTTACGAAATGAAGGAAAGTAAAATTATTGTTTATTCTTAAGCTACAAATTTTGAACAAGGCTGACATATCTACGCTAAATTTTATAATGGTGCCATAAAATTTTTCATTATTCAATAACAACTATAAATTTTTATAATTTACTTAAACATCATAAAAGAGTGGATTATAAAGCACTGTGTTGAATAAAAATAGTATAATATTAAGAATGGCAACTTTTGATTAAAATATAGATTCAAAATATTATTTCCTGACGCACTGCAAAATCTGAAAGTAACACAGTCTATTGTAAACGAATTTTTCAGGATGCAATTTTGGATATAATTTGATCTGAGAAATAAACATTAATACAAGGTGATTATGTAATTCAACAAACAATCTCTATACTGCTTCATAAAATAGATGACTTATGATGGGAGTCTTCTTTTATAAAATACTGTGGTTTAATGTTTGCAAACGAAGTTTCAGCTTAAGTTTGGAAATTAATATAGAGGGAAAGTTAAAAAGAGTCTTTCAAAACTAACAAGTTAGCATATGAATAGCATTAGGGAAAGAATATAAAACGCATTTCAGTATACATTCAGTATTTATTTCACAATAAGGAAACATTTTTCACTATATAAATAGCATAAGGAAATACTTTTTCAGTATATGAATGTAAAAAAACTTTTCAGTATATATCCAGTACTTATTTCAGTATAAAAAAAAAAACCATTTGATTATGTAAATAGCATAGGGAAAGAATTTTTCAGCATATGATTCATATATTATATTCATATATTAATATATCGATTTCTTTAATCAACTTTCGATTTCTTTAAAAAAAAACATGAACATTTAAGAACTAATCAATAGAAAAATGCAAATAACACAAAAAGTAAACATATTTAATTAAAATAAAAATTTAACAAACATTCTCTATTCGTATTCGTAAAAGCAAATTTAAAGTTAATTAAATTTTAAATTATGAAATTTAATTGCAAACAAATAAATGATTAATTATTGCTGCGAACTAATCTACAATATCATTTAAATTACGTGAAAGTATCAAAATCCATGAATAAATATATAATTCCAAAAAAATTTTTTTAATCCTAAAAAAATTTTTAAAATGATAAGTGAATAATTGTTGAGCAGGCAGGAGACAAGCTTATCAAGGGAAGTTGCCTCCAAACCTAACTCTTCAATTATTCAATTCGTGTTTCGTCATCCATGTATTCAGAATTTAAATGATATTGCAGATTAGTTCGCAGCAATAATTAATCATTCATTTGTTTACAATTAAATTTCATAATTTAAAATTTAATTAACTTTAAATTTGCTTTTTACGAATAGAGAATGTTTGTTAAATTCAAATTTCATTACTTAAATCAATGCGCAAGAGAATTATTTAAATTTAATTTAACTTAATGTTTATTAAAAGTAAAACTATTATTTAACTAAAATATTTATTATTCTTTTTAATTAAAATAAAAATGTATTTTTTATTCACGGGAGACGCCTTTCACAAGAATTTTTATGTCTGTTATGGAACTTGAAGGGCATCAAAAGAACTTTTGAAATCTGCACTGAGATTGAACTTATTGAGATCTGTAGTTTTCCAAGCTTTATTTTTTTTATACGAGATAAGGTTGGTTCGTGTAAAAAAAAAAAAAAAAAAAAAAAAAAAAAAGATCTAAAATGAGAAAAGATATATATATATATATATTTACTTTTCAAACGAAAATATCAAATGCTCCTCAGCTGACTACCTCCTATCCAACCTTTTTCACATTTTAAATGATTTTTAAAATTATTTGGATGATTACTCCAGGAACCAAACCTCTTTTAGTAAGATTGGTCAAAAGTACACAATTTGTCTAGTAATTTAATGAAAAAAAGAAAAAAAGAAAAAGAAAAAAGAAAGACATGAAAGAAAAATAAGATATTTACACCAGTTTTTTTTAAAAATAATATTGTAATTATTTAGTAAAATAATATCTTCTTCTATAATGCATACCACATTACTTCATTTTGTTTAAATTGTAGAAGATTGTAGAGTTAAGTAAAAATTTCAAATTACCTTCGAATGCCACTTCCAGATACTTTTAGAACAGGTAAACGAGTAAACAAAAAGTTAACATTTCTGGTCTCCAATCCTGAAATTAAGCTCAAACTCTATACATAACTGTAAACAAATTAAATGAATATTGTAGAAAAAGTAGAAATCTTCTTCATTAAAATTTCTGAATTTATGTGTTCATTGATACTGGACTATCAAAATGCAAATTGTGTGTCTTTCAAATTGCAAATTCATAGATATGCAAGAAATTCATATTATATTTAATTGTAGGGAGTTATGAAACTAGCATTATTTTCAGTATAAAGACCTACATTCATTTAAGTCATAAATGTAAAGACCTACATTCATTTAAGTCAATCAGAGTTTTACGTCTGCTTTCTAAACATTTGTCAATAAAATAAATATAACTCAAATATCTTTATATACAAATCAGAAAGACCTTACACAAAGATGTAACCAGATAGCCATTATTTCTGTTTTAATGATTTGAAGCATCATAATATGCATTTTTGTAAGATTCATTTGATAACACTGTAGTTAGCTAGGTCATTAGTGAAACAATCATTGATGACCCAATGCTAAAGAAAAAGATGCAAGAATTCTGAATATAGTTGAGAAAATTCATAATTATCTGATTGTTTTATAATTCTACATTTCCTATGAGCTATAATTTTTATTGCAATTCTTACCCATTACAATTAGGAATATATTAATCCTAGAAGCATTTGACATTCATTTAAAAGAAATTCAAAACATTTTAGAGAAACTACTATTTTCTACTTTTATATATGTATTAGTTTTCAATAACAAGAGGATTTCCCAAGAATTTTGGTCCAGTTTAATGCAAAATTATAGCACAAAATTTAAATCATATTTTTCGTATCAAAATTTTAGTGCTAAATATCCATAAAAAATAATTCATTTTATGATGAAACTGAAACATTCGAAGTTTATTGCAAAAGTTCCCTTCAAGAAGCAAAATGATTGTGTCACAGTATCAATGCGAATTCGTAAATATTACTAAAATGCATTACTATAATATGTAATATAATAAGGACTAGTAAATACGGAAAATATACAAAACGAATAAGGACTATATGTAGTCCTCTTAACACGCACCATCACCAATACACTTTATATAAAAATTAGTCATATTTTAACAATAAAATGAAAAAAAAAAGTTTTTTTTGAGCAATCCAGCACTCAAAAAAGTATGTGATTCGATTTTATACAAGTTTATAGTATGAATCATAGCCAACATGCTAATTAAGCCTTACATGAATATTAAAAAGAACACATATCGAAGTATAAAAACTGGCTAACTCCATGAATTTATAAACTTATATGCAACATTTTGTTCTTTTTGTTACATGCAGATGCAATAATGAACATCGTGGTAGAGTTTTTATGACTGAGAAAAAAAGATAGAGAAGCTTTTTTTCCCTCCCTGCGAAGTGTAAGAGGAAGAAAATGTTTAACGTTGAGGTAAAGAAATCCAGATAAGCAATTAGTATATTTGTTGTTTACAGTGGTGTACATAGATAAACTGAATTCTACATTTACCTAATAACACACCTCTCATTGACTTAGCTATTTCACAGTATATCTTTGCTTATTATTGCGAACTGAGAAACTAAAATTACAGTTAATTACAGATGAAAAAAAACAATAAGATTTGTAAAATTATTAAAACAAAAAGATAATTTTGTTTGATTTAAAACATAAACTATGGAAATTAACGTGCTTTCTTTCAAAATATCTTTTTCCAATAGTTTAATGCCTAGACGCACTAAATACTTTCATTTTTTGAAACAATTTCTTTCTGGATACTTTAATTAAAAAATAATCATACACGAAGCGAACCTGGATTTTAAAATTTAATTATGATTGATATTCAAAATCATATGTTTCTAAAGCATATATGATTCATAAAAATGTTATATTTTCTTATTCCAAACAATTTGTTATATAAATAGAAAAAGAAATTGTACTTGAAACGTTTCAGTCAGTGAAAAGAAAAGACAATATAAAATATGTACAGTTTTTATCCTTGAAATCTATATAAAGGAAATTCGAGTAAGTTTTTATTTCACTGAATTTTACCTTTAATTAAAAATCTACAAGAAAAATTAGTCGCTTCAAAGTTGCTAGGCAAAGAATCGCTACAAAATAGAATCTCACTCAGAAATATTAATTTTAATTTCGCTACAGATTTTTGGCGAGCATAATTTAAGATATTCTGAAAATTAAGAAATACCGAAGAAAACATTCAAAATTGTCTTAGAAAGTTGGCCACTGTAAGTTCAACAAGTAACTACAAAATTTTCGAATAAAATGTATATGAAAAAATAAATAATACTTTTAAAGTGCTAAATAAGAAATGTTTAAATCTAAAAGTAAATATAAGCAATCCTATTTAAAGTGACTACTCAAAATTCTATATCTTTTTAATCTTGAGTGAATGTGGTGAACTTGCGTAATGATTAAAAACCAATGTTTATTATTCTCAAAAACACTGTTCGTCTTAGAGGGAGATAGTCACCAAGAATTTTCACTGCAAGTATACATTATTTCTAAAAAACAACAACAACAACAAAAAAAAAAAAAAACTGCATGAAGATTTTCGTGATGTTCCTAAAGTGTAATGTGCATATGAACCAGTTCCTGAGTATGTACTCCACAAAGGAATACCACCCCTTAAGCAGATAGCCGTAGTGTGTTTTGGCATAATCTAATAAATAAAAATCCTACTGAAATATTATGCATAGCTGACTTTCTTCATAACTAACAAATCGTCATTCAAGTAACTGACTGCATGCTGTGCATGGAAATTTTAATGACATTTTAAGAATAAACTGAAACAAAACAAGAAATAATTTTCGATTTAAGAGTATTAGACTAACAAAAGTGAAGAAAATAATCTCAAAATTAACTTAGCAATTTTTTTATAAATAAGGTCATGCAGTCACTTACCTTCCATTTTCTAATCTTTTTAGATAATACTTTTCATAAAAAATTACCAGTAAAAACTTTATAAAAATGATTTATTAATGACCTTTGTTAGTTAACTATGTCGGTTTAAAATTCTATTAAGTGCTATAAGTTGCATTAATTTTCTATGTTTAAGTCTCAATCTTACTTTTTCAGCTAAAATTTATTAGTTAATAAAAAATATGAAAGTAAAAATTATCCTTCTTTCCATCTTGCGCTCACAAATCATTACGGGAATATCCATTTACAGTTATTAAAGCCTGAAAAAAAGCATGTCTGCGATGTTATCGTCATGCGATGATTTGTAGATACTTTATTTTTTACCACGATATTTTCGACGATGATGTTTTTAAACTGCGAAGTTTTTTAACTGCTTTATTTTTGACGACGATGTTTTAGAACTGCGATGTTTTCTCCCACGATGTTTTGTAGCATGACGTTTTCGCCTTGCGTTGTTTTCTCCGCGATGTTTTCGGCTGTAACCATGGTCACCGGATTTGACACCCTGTGACTTCTTTCTGTGGGATTTCATTAAAGACTATGTTTATGTACCACCAATCCCACAGAACCTGGAAGAGGTGAAGAACCAGATTCGTACTGCTGTAACATTAGTGACGACGGACGTGCTTGCACAAGTGTGGGAGGAATTTGAGTATCGATGCGATATTGTTCATGTCGCTGATGGAGGACATATTGAACATCTGTAACAGCTGTAATCTGAATTGAGAGGTTTGTACATATGTGTGTAAAGCTTCATATTTGTATGTCATACAGTTTAATAAATATATGCATTTGAAATACGTATATTCTTTTTGAAACACACTGTACATATTTAAAAAACACTTTTTTAAAAATTGTCTTCTTTAATGATTCTTATTTTGAATAACTGCATTCTTTCGCAAAGAATGTCATCAACAGTTAGCTGCATTTATTATTATTGCAAATATTTGATGTTTGCATGGACAACTGATTAAGTATAACTTTTCCAAAACCCTGTTTTCATTTTTTTTCTTGATGTACTTAACACACAAAACCAGCACACCAAATATTTCCCTAATTGAATTTTTTTTACTAAGGGGTCTATGCAAAGTTAAATTTTTAGTTAAGAAACTTTTTCACTCACAATTTTGAAAGTATTGTCATAAAATTTATACCTCACTTTAAGAAAATTTAGATTTCTAAGTTTATAACAAAGAACAATATTAAAGGAAACAAAGTCCACAACCACCTTCTTCAAACATGTTGTATTTACATAAAGTTCACATTTTTATCATACATGTAATTCAACTTACCGAGTTTCCAGCAGTAGAACTTGATTTTGAACTGGCAACTTTTCTCCCAAACTAAAAGAAAAAACACTCAGTAAGCACAAACAGTTTTGTACTTTAAACGACGAACAGGTACAGATATCTCTTCATAAGGAGCAAAAAAATCTACAGCAAAGGGAGAAGCCATGACTTTATTTATAGCAAAAGCAAAAAAGTAAATTGAATGAGAAGTTAGTTCATTCCATCTGCAGAAACAGTAAAGAAAATGAAGTTCCTAGGATTTTAAAAGCATTAGGAAATACTGGATTAAATCATTAACTAAACAAGGTAAATCTTTGAGTATATGAGAAGCTTCTAGGAAATCCAATTCTCTGATGGAAAAAGGTTTATGGATAATTTTTGCAGACATGAAGTCAAAATTGTGATTAAATCTCCAATTATGATTAGTTATCAAAGATTTTATTATTCTCTTTGCACACATTCGTGTTCCTCATGGAAAACTTTAATGCTCTTTTAATTTAGCAGATATACCTCAAACCACACTAACAGATATGCTTTAATTTCCCAAGAATTAAAGTCAAAAATTGAACGTTTAAGAATCAAACCATGGATTTTATTGATAGGTGAGAAAATCATTTGAATACTGGTTGGAGAAATTGAAATCCAATTTCCATACGATTTTGTAATAGACAGCTTTATAACTGAAACTGATAGAAGAATGAAATGGAAGAACAACAAGGTTATTAATGTTATTTCTAACAGTCTTTAGTACTTTATGTATTAACTTGTCTTCTTTGATGGCAAGCTGAACATTTTTGAAAGGCACCACTGCTCATGAGACAAAATCCTTGGTCAGTGGTAACTGATCTCAAATAATTGAGTTCATTAGCAAGGAAAGATTCTGAGGAACAAACTTCGAGAGCAAATAGTAAAAAGGAGCCATTTTTTTTGCTTAGCTGTGTGCCATTACTTAGCATGGGAGGGGGAAAACAAACAAAAAAAGGATTTTCAGTAAACAGTAGTGCTGAAATCAGATTCATTATGGTTTCTAAGACTATCAAGGAAGGGCACAGCACTGTAAGACTCAGTTACGAAAATGAACTTGACAGTTGGTACAACTAAATTTACAACAGATAAAATCTAGAATAAATCTTCTTTATTACCATCAAAAAATGTGAAAGTATCGTCTAGGCAGTGAATCCACACATGACAAGATAATTTTTCAAATAATTTGACCTCAAAATAGTGCATGTAAATGTCAGCAAGTACAGGACTGACGGGATTACCCATAAATAATCCTTCAATTTGGTGATAATATTCATTTTCCAAAACAAAGTGGGTTTGACTCACAGGCTTTAGCAAGAAAAATTAACTCTTCAGTTTCAGTATGTGCGAAATGGAATTTTCGAACACATTTTAATGCTTCTGCAAGTGGAACATTAATGAACAGAGATTTTAACATCAAAAGAAATCATAATGGAGTGCAAAGGAGAAATATCTTTATCGGTAACTTCAAAAGAATTTGTTACAGGGTAAGAAACTCTTTTGATAGATGGAAATTCCCTCAAACTTATCTAGACGTTCAATTTTCAAGTCATTTTCTCGCTTCTGAAATGGGATTTTTACGAATCAAACCATAGATTTTATTAATAAGTCATTTTCTCATTAATAAAATCCATGGTTTGATTCGTAAAAATCCCATTTCTGACTTTAATTCTAGGGGAATTTATCTTGTCAATGGAGATTTGAAATATATCAGCCAAACTAAAGGAGCATTAAAAAGTTTCATTTCAAGGAACACAAATCATATGTCCAAAAAGAAATAAAAAAATCTTTTAGAGCTAATCATAGTTAGATTTAACTGCAATTTTGACTTTGGTCTGCAAAATTTATCCATAAAGCTTCTTCAGCTGCTGAACTGGATTTCACTGAAGATTCTCATATATGCAAAGGTTTATCTTGTTTAATTAATGATTTTAATCCAGTATTTCCTGATGCTTTTAAAATTCTATTAACTTAATTTGCTTTACTATTTCTGTGGCAGATGGCACTACACTCTTGTTCACCTTATTGCTTTGCTTTTGATTTAAATACAACAATGGATTCTCTCTTTGCTTTGGATTTCTTTGCTCCTGGTGAAGAGGAACTTGTAACTGTTTGCCCTTAAAATCGAGTCTTAATTAAAATCTGTGCCAAACACAAGGTTGTTTTGCTTAATTTTATGTTTCACTAAGGCACATTTTTCTCCTCTTTTGACAAAAGAAAATGCAGAGTTTTTTAGTAAAAGAAATTGTTAAATAAAATGCATAGATTAACTATTCTATTGACTGAAAAAGTAAAGTTTCAGTAATCTAATTCTTTTCAAGATTAAAGGGATTTTATAGCATCAGCACATTGCAAGTTATGAAGCATGTTTTTTGAAACTATATTTTGATTCTAAAGCCTTCCTATACTAGATACTTGAAATACATGAAATGCACATCACAGCAAAAAAATTCAAATAACAGCATGCAAATAAAACGTATTAGCATTTAACCCTTCAAAGTATTTTAAATTCTTTCCTCCATACCATATTTACTTGCATATTCCCTTCTTTTCTTCTAACTTTATCATACATAATTCGAGATGGGAAAATTATCTGAATAATTTATTTTTCAAAGGACGTGGTTACTGTAAGTGTAAATGAAAAGAATTTATGAATGATAATGAAATGTAATTATGAATAAAAATAAGAAATGAAAAAGTATTTAAGGATAAACTACTAGCAACTACCATAATCTTATTTATTTAAAAGAAACTTACATTCTGATAAGAATACACAATATATTAACACTGCAATATTTAATAAGATATCATTATTTCAACTTCCCTCTGTTTTCAGTTTTGCTCATTTCTGTTGTTGTCTGCTGCTAATCCCAAGATATCAAACCATATAATGATGCTGAAAGTGCTGTCTCTTTTGTCTGTTACAGTTTGCAAGTTGTTGCCATCAGCTTTGCCAAGATTCAGTCTGTCTTCCAATGAACAATAAATAATACTTTGAACCATCAAGAACATTAGATATCTCTATTTCCTTGAAGCTCTTCATTATTATTGCTTTATCTATCAGAGCATATGCATCTAATTCCATGAACAAATCAATTAGTAAGATGAAAACAATCATTTTGAGGATGAATTTGTTTTAAAATTCAGAGGAGCTCCCTTTTAGAATGTTTTGATGAAGGGGAAAAATTTTTTAGAAACTTATACTAAAAATTAACTTTTCAATTTCAGTATGTGTGAAATGGAATTCTCTAAGCTTAGCGTTAAGACATTTTAGTACTTCTGCAAGTAGAACAATAGTGAACAGAGATTTAATATCAAACGAAAACAAAGCACAAAGGAGAAATACCTCTATCAATAACTTGAAAAGAATTTGTTACAGGGTAAGAAACTCTTTTGAAGGATGGAAATTATTTTGGACTATCCAAAAGTTCGATTTTAAAGTCATTTTCTCACTTATAAATAAAATCCATGGTTTGATTCTTAAAAATTCCATTTCTGACTTTAATTCTTGGAGAATTTATAGAATATCTTGTCAAGTGATTTGAAATATATCGGCCAAAGTAAAAGAGCAACAAAGCATGTATTTTTAACCCTAGCTTTTTAGTAATGCATTTTTAACTAAAAAGCTAGGGTTATAAACATATGAATAAACATGATAACTTTAATAACATTAACATTTCTAAATTAAAAATAAAAAGCTTTCTAAATAAAAAGCACATTCCAAAAAACTGTTTTTAACATGAACATTTACCTTCAACCTTTTAATTAGGGTGAAATTCAACTGCTTTAATAGTCATTACATTCCCTTTACAGGGTTCATAGCCACATTTTAAATAAAAAAATAAGCACCTGTCTAATTACATCATACAAAACTGCATAACCTTAAAAATTAGACTTGTAATTTAAAATATGAGAAATGAAGTACTTATTACGAGAGAATAAGCATTACCTCAACCATGGAAAATAATTACTTTTTTGTTTTTGTTTTTAATTTTAAATAATAGTTCAATTTACAGAAATAGTTTACAATGAGATGAAAAAAAACTATGAAGAACTAAACTATATTACAAGATTTAATGATGAAATTTCAAGAGAAAATAAATAATAATAAGGCATATTTATTGTATTCGCTTGGAACCTAATAATAAATACAATTTAGTTTTCCACTCATATTGATATTTAAATAATTTAAATCTAAATTCTGAACATTTTCTAAATTTTCATTGTATATCAGTTTCCTCTTAACAGAAATTGCAAGCAAAGTAATTTAAGTAAAAAAGAGGAACATTTCTGAAATCAGAAGACAGAAATTTGCTTCATGCAGCCATCTTTAACAGTAAAAGCTTAACTAATCCGCATACTTGGATTTGGCGAATATTCGGACAGTCGAGCGTAACTTGAAGGAGCGGAAAGGGGGGGGTAGACTGTAGCCGCTCTTTAGATTTTTCCGCTAATAAATGCTTTTGACATTTCAATATGTGCATCATATAAAAATAAACCAACAGAACTAAAAAAATATTCTGCTTAGCAAGCACAGTAAAACTCTTTCAGTTAGTAAGTGTTCATAAAAAAAATCTCGAACTGAACATCAAAATTAATTATCTCTGCAAAATATCGCAAACGTTAATGCGCAATACGTGCGCCGTAATTCTTCCCTACGTGATATTATGCAATCGGAATCAACAACTGCCGGTATTGGGAGAATAAAGAACTAAATCATTGGGGTGTTTTTCATTCTAATTTTCAACAGACGGCGTTAAATTTCCGGAATAGAATCATTCTTTGCTTGGGTTGGAAGACCGCAGAACTTTTAGTCCTATTCAATCCAGATTGGAAAGAAACCAAAAAAAAAAAAAAGGTCTGTTGCTTGTTTTGCAGCGAACTGTAACAGTTTCAATATTCAAGATTTTGCAGAGAAAGGGGAGACCTCCCAACCTTCGTACTGTATAATATATTGGCCAAAAAAATTAAATTATTTTGACTATTCGATTACTTTCCCTTTATTTAAGCCATTCCGAATATTATTCCTTAGAAAGCTAATCTGTGTTAAAACATAACCATTTTTGGAAGTTTACTATACTTCAGCAATTACTGCAACTATGTTATTATAAACATTCATACATATGCTTATAATATAAGCATAACGATCATAATAAACACGAATATGAACTGACCAAGCAGAACGAGAATGCAAAATTTTGAGATCTTGATAGAAATTCAAACATGTGTAGTATTTGGGTGGGAGAAAAAGAATGCCAAATGTAGCGGAATTTTCTACTGCTTTCGCAATTCTTTCACCAATAGAACGACGGGCACCTGTCTGTACTCTTCGTGCACACCAAAGGTTATGTGAATGCAGAGAAAGGGGGAAAAGCTATTTCCGGGAGTATGACTCACCATCTGATATTCCATATTAGGAAGAAAAGTTGTTTATTTAGCGGCTTTGGTACAGGAAAAAATAGCGCGTTCATTAAATTAAAAAAAAATTTAAAAAAAAAAAAAAAACACTAAAAGCAAAAAATAAGCACTAAAAACAAAAAAATAAGGGCTTTAAAGAAAAAGTAAGCACCTATAAGGGCCTTTATATTTTATTTTCAAATATAAGGACTTATAAGCACTTATAAGGACTGCTACGAACCCTGCTTTTACCTATATATAGATAAACATATCTTTGATTTCAGGACGTTCAATTTCAATATTTCCAAGGTATTTAGTTGGCTGTTTCCATAAAAACTCACACAAAAATGAGAATAAAACATGGACTATTCTGAAAATTTTAGGAGACATTTTATACTGGAAGAGTTTATGAAATATTTTAAGAAAAATCCAGAATGTGCCTTAAATGCTATTTTAATTACTTTGTAATGCAAGCCATCTGAAACTTGCACTTTTTTTTCAGGGAGATGACTAAATACCTGATTAATTTATTTTCTTATAAAGGGGATATCATTATCAGCATTGTACAGAGTAGAATTTGACCATATTTTCTGTTGCTTTGAAGTGTTTCAGCAGGCATACCATCTGCAAAGCCTGATCTTTTTGTTAGTCAAAGTGCGCTTTGTGCCGACAGGCTCATCAGGCACAGACCCCTTTTTGGCCTGTGTAGTTGAAGTAAATCCACTTTTCATCACAAGTGACAATCCAGTCCAGAATTTTATCCTTGACTTGATATTCGAGCAGATTAGTGCAGGCTCAAGCATGCCTGTCCTTATCTGCTCGAGTTAGCGACACCCAGTGATTGAACTTGTACGTGAAGTTCATGCGATGCATACTGCAACTAATGGACATAGCACTAATGTCTAACTCCTTAGCAAGTTCTCAAATGGTTGCATACTGATCTTGCAGACAGGCCTCATCAACATCAGTACGCTGTCCAGAGCATCCTGCTTCTTGAATGTCAGAGTCCTTGTTTTTGAAATTTCAGGATCAAACCTTCACAATGTCATATGATACAATATTAGTATCTAAAGCTGTACACATGATTTGGTGACATTATTTCATTACATTTTTCTGCATTGCAAGTTAATCCTTCTAAACCTTTCGAGGTACGAGGTCTAAATTCCAAAAGAAAATCATGCCAACCAGCTCTATAAGAGTAAAAAGTCAGAAGACATGGGGGGGGGAGAAATCAGAAAAGGAAAAAGTAAATTTCAGAATCAAAACATGTCTCTTTCAGAATCAAAACATGTCACCAAAATGGAAAGTAAGATCATTTTAAAATATGGCAGCAAAAATAAAAATATTTTATTTTAATGCTATTTTTGAAATATAATTTTAATATATCATGATTATTTGTGTCAATGTTATTTTTTTTTTAAATCATCAAAAGATTCACAAATCTTTAAATAAACAATTTTGTATACAAACTGAGCTTGAAATCTCCAAAATGTTGATAGGTCACCAAATTTAGCTCTTCATTTGCAAAAAGAAATAATTTTGAAATGTTTATGCTTCAATCGAGGCAGTGCTTTGTGCCTAAATCTTGATATTCACCATTTATATTAAGACGCAGAAAAGAATTCAAACATTAATCCATTAAATACATGTTTGTCAATGCATTGTCAAAAATATTCCTTTAAAATGTTAATTCACATTCAAAATGGCAGTTGTAAAAAAAAGAAATGTGAGTTAAATTAAGCACCTTTTGCAATTTCAAGCCAAATTAAGGACTTTTAAGGACAAAATCGTTTTGCACAGACATAATACCACCATGAAATCCCAAATTTTATTCAGCTTGCTCAAAATTACTTGTACAACTGTACGCAAAATTGTAGCATACTTTAACCTTTTGCAAGATGTCAAGAATTATGGTAATGCTCAACATCATTATACTCCAGACTCATCAGAAGACATTAAAATAGGCCACAACTCTAACAAATAATTCAAAACCAATTTTATTCAACATTTAAAATGTAAAAATACACCTTGCAAGAGGCTAAATATTTAAAATGAACACAATCATGAGACAATGTCAAACATTGACTACAAACAGGCAAGAAGAGAGTCTCTTGCTGAAAAAGTTCAAGTTTTTATCGTCTTGCTAGGTAGCAAGCATGCCTGCATATTACACAGCAAAAATGAATGTTGCCGCTCACTGCAATGTAAATGTTCCACCATAATAGCTTCATATGTTTTTTACTTTTTGCTGTCATATGAACTGTGCTAGGTTACTGCATCAAATATTATCTCGCTGTGTCCCTATGTTTCTCATTCCACCATTTTACAGAACCTAATACTCATTTGATAATTTGTATATGAACACCAGAATGTGTTAACTGGAACACTGTTGGTTATTTGGCAATATGCTCTTGTAAGAAGCTAAAAGCACAGACTTCATTGTTTGGTAGATCTCATAGACCCATGATTAAAATCTGAAGGGGGGAAAAAAAAAAAAAAAAAAAACTTTTCCCTTAAAACTCAGCAATTTTATATGTTTGCAATAAGAATTAATTTGAGTTATGGTGTGAAAGTTGGCAACTACTTGTCCTTTTTTGGCTTTTTATCTGTTAACATGCAATTACCAAAAATTTTTACATAACATTTTATTGAAAAAATTAAATAATTTTTTATCAAGTTGCAATTATACAGGCCCATGGATGACTAGGATTGGCATTTGGTTTTTAGAAAATTTTCTGTGGTAATGGAAAGTCTGTGATCAATCCATTTTTTGCAGTAACATTCTTGTCTAAAATGTAAATCAACAGCACTTTAAGTAGCATATTGAAATGTTTGAGCAGAAGCAGCTTTATATAAATTTGTTAGAATACAATGGATGTGTTGCTCAGCAGAAATATTTGTAATTTTTATTATTCCATATAGTGTATTTTGTATAATACCATAATCAAACTGATTAGTTCCTCTAATAGATGACATATTTAAATTTTTTATTACCAGTCTTTACTATTTATTACTTTTTAATTACCAGACAAAGATTTAAATTCCACAGCTGGAATGTCTAATTGTAATGAAATGTTCTTAGTTAATTCACATAAAATAGTACTATTAGATAAATTATGAGCTGTTCATTTAGGATAACATGGCTTAGAAACTTTAATAAAATTCTTATTTGGAGGATATGAAATACATATTTTTTCTTTACTATAGTACGAATATCCTATGTTCAGTTTTGATATTTAAAAATGCATACCCAAACTTGTGAATCTTCTTTCTTTACTAAAACTTGCAATGGCATCTCATTCTCTTTAATGTGGGTTGATTTTTCAATTACAAAATTTGTGATGATAATATAAGCCTGTAAGGACAAACTGCTTTAATTACAAATAACATATTTTTTTGGAAGTAAAAATGTGAAAAAGAAAATAAAAATGAAATCAGATCAAATACCACAAACAAATTTTAAAGTAATTCTAAAGCAGTAACTTTTGCTGAATAATAATACTAATATGCATATTTTTCTGAGAAAATATAGATGTTATATAGATATATTTGGTAGAATACTAGAAGATTATAAGTTCTCTTTTCTTTTACATGTAATAAAAATATCAATTTTAGTCATAATTAATATAAAGAAAATGAGAAGGCGAATAACATTTTCAGCTAGTCATCAGAATATTTTCTTTTTCTTCTCCTCCCCTTCATTTTTCTAATTTAGATGTATTGAGTAGAATATGAGAAGATGCTAAGCTCTTTTTGATTTTTCATGTAATGGAAATATTGATTTTAGTCATATATTCTAATAGCCAACATAAAAAGGATGAGAATGGTGAATAGCATTTTCAGCTGAGTATCAAAATTATTTCTTTTTCATCTCCCACTCTCTCTCTCTTATTATTTCTTTTTTCTTCTCTTTCTTTCAAAGTTTTAAATGTAACTTGACTTAGTGAAAATTTTAAAAATTGACAGCCAATAAAAATAAGAATGTTTGATGTTTTCCCTTTTACAAGCTGAATTGTAAAAAATTAATTTATCTAAGGCACTTACAATCCTTCTGCAACTGTGGTGTGCATGTTTATGGACTGATTATAATAGTTCTTTTTACATATTATTTACATTTAATATTATAGAAGCATCAGTTTCTAATAAATAGATGAACAAGATTGAATGCAATTATATGGAATGATACTTGGTATCATAAAACAAATTTATAAATTCAGATTAAAAAATCAAACATAAATACATAACAAACAAAACTATCTTATAAAGCAAATAAAATTCAAATAATGTGTGACAAAGTGAAAAACAGAGCTCAAAGGAAAAAGAATGCCTTGCACATAAAAGCAGACATTTATCCATGTTTTGGAAGTTTTTCAAAAACCTTTCTGCCATTTTTATACAGAGTATTACAGTACAGTATCCTTCTAAAATATTTTTAAAGCTGAAATAAGGTAAAGCAAAGAAGCAATTTATATGGGAAGAAATTTATAGCATTTCCAAGCTTCCAATAATAGTCTTATCAAATTATACCAAATAATGCATAACAACAGCTGCCTAAACAGCATCCAAAATAACCTAAATGCTGTTTGAATATGACAAATACAAAAACAAAATGACACATACGCAGCCCAGACAAACAGCTGTAATTTATAAAATTCGAAAGATAGTGGGTGTAATGAAAGTCTTAATAGATGGATGTATTAATGATGGTGTGCTGAGTTGAGATACTGACAATTATAGAATGAGACATGCAGGAGATTAAGCTGCAGAAATGAGAGAACTGTTATTTGTAGCTTTAGGTCTCTGTTTGCCTATCTCAATACTGCAAGCTGATTGCTCTCATTTTCTCTTGTTAATATGAAGAACTGAAATACAACAATATGCATCAATGGTTAGATTGAACTTTTTTTAACTGTACAATTCTTTGTATGCAATTAAAAGATCCTAAAAAGTCATATTCTCTTACAACAATCAATTGTGTGATGCAAATGCTAACTATTAAAATTTTTTGGGTCCCTCTCTTCCTTTTTGTTGGGAGGGGAGGGAGAGGGTCAATTGAAAAACTTTTTAATGTAAATGTTTTATAAAAGTGAAGTGAGATAATGTAGGCGTATACAAATGTTCAATTAAGTTAGTAATACTTGGATTTCAACTTGAAAATAAACACTCTCATTTAATAAAGTACAATTAGCAATGTTCCCATTTGAAAATTCCAAAATCCATTCCTATTCTAAAATTGAAACAAAAACAAAGTAACATAATAAAAGACAATGATAAAAAAATAGTAGAAAATTCGGTACTGTTCTGTTTGGCATGGACCGAGGCCAGGGCCAGAAATGTATGTATGTAATGCATATAAGTACACTGTGCAAAAAAAAAAAAATAAATAAATAAATAAAAATAAATAAATAAAAAATAAAGGAGGGACAGTTCTATATCCCTTGTTCTACTGGGCCGATTGATGAAATTAAATTGCGTTTTCCATGTGTCGAAAGCATGACTTAGTATATATATTATATTTATAGCATCGTTCTAACATAGGTATTTTGACACAAAAATTGGACTTTTTCTGAAATGACATGCCAATGTCTTTCAATATTTCAATTTCACAACTCAAATTATGCCTAGGTATTAAATTTTGTAATTTTTGGCAAGACATTTATGGAGAAATTTAAAAATTTACATTGGTGCATTTTTTACAATTTGCGGCAAGAATAATTCACTTGGCAAATTTCTTAATTTATAACAACCTATTTTTCATTGTCCATGAGCCAAAAAAAAAAAAAAAGTCGTCGTTCATACTTTCAAATAATTTTCAAAGTGAGTAAACCACATTTTCATTATTATCGCTTATAATAAATACGCCAAATTTCAAAATGTAAATTCTCGTATATCTTAGGAAATTTTGAATAGAAAACTCATATTTTTTGCAAGTATACTTATAAATAAATCTACTTTAAGAAGATGACAAAAATTTAATAGGGTATAACACAAATTTTTTTTAAAAAAATTTAAAAGATAAATCATAAAAAATAGGCGAATTTTGTTTGGAATGAACCTAGATTTCGAAATACCAAAGGAAGAATCAAATTAGTTTAATAAAAAAAAAAGAGATATTAATAACTGTATATCAAATTCAATTAACACTGAGGAGCTAAAATTTTGAGAGCTAATTTTTTAAAAACTACTCATGCGATTTTTGCAAAACTTGGCATAATTTGAGTGGTAGAATCGAAATATGGAAAAAGAATGGCATGTCATTTCAGAAAAAGTCCGATTTTGTGTCAAAATACCTACATTAGAACAATGCTACATATAAATCTAAATACATATCCTACAATGGTGGCCAAAATTGTGGACAATTTTGGAAATTTTTATGTTTTTGAACTTTGTTTGCTTATAGAAAACGTTACGTTTCACAAAATACAAACTTGTATATATCATTTTAAAGAGAATTTATTACTGAATTCAATACAAAACATAAAATTCAATTATTTACAATCCAAAAAAAGTTAAACGATAATAGTTATCGATATACATTAGATAGTGATGATTGCAGTGAGTTATCAGTAATTAGTAGGCTACCCTTTATTTTTGATTATAACTTCACATCGACTTTTCATTGAGCTGACAAGAGTTTTAAGCTCTTCTTTCGTTATTACATGATGCCAGGAAACAATTATAGCCTCAATTAGTTCCCTTTTATTTGATGGGTGCCTCATTGGGACAAGAGTTTTCAAACGGTGCCACAAGTTTTCGATAGGATTGAGGTCAGGACTGTTTCCTGGCCATGACAACAATTTAATGCTCTTTGTACGAAACAACTCTTTCGATATTTTGGCCGTGTGGCAAGGAGCAGAATCCTGCTGAAAAATAAACGAAGCATTGTTGGGAAAGAGATCTCTGATGGCAGGTAGAAGTTTTGGTTCTAGAATAGTGTCAATGTATTTTCTGGCATTCAGTATCCCATCGATGACATGAAGGTGACCAATACCATTTGCTGACATGCATGACCAAATCATAACACTAACTGGGTTCTTCACAGTTGCTTGAATGCAGTCAGGATGTAGCTCTTCTCCTATTCTACATCTTACATATTTTCACCCATCACTACCGAATAACGATATCTTAGTTTCACTCCATATAACTTGTGAACACTGATCATCTATCCAATTAATGTGTTCCTTTGCCCACTGTAGTCTTTTTTTCGTTGCTGAAAATTAAGATAAGGCTTTTTTCGTAGAATTCTACCTCTCAGTCCAACATCTGTTAATCTTCTCCTCCTTGTTCTTGAACTGACAGAAACACCAGCATCATTCAGATCACTTCTGAAGGCCGCTGATGACATTTTTCTATCTTGGAGACATAGTCTTTTTATTCTTCTGTCATCAATAGATGTGGTGCACCTTTTTCGGCCTTTTCCTTCTTTGTTTTTTATTGAATTTGTCTCCTGATATTGTAAACAAAACTTTCGGACTCCAGATGTAGTCTCTGAATCACCCACCTGTCTTGCAATTTCAGCATAGGAAAGACCACTTTCTTGTAACATAATAATATTACATCTCTTTCTAGGTGTCCAATCTCCTCTTTTATTTGATGTCATTGCTTTAAAAATTCCTACTTGTAATTGCAGTGTACAAGAAACAGGTCCTCTTTCTACAGAACAAAGCAAAATAATGAATTCTTTCAAGTGTAAACACGATGTCAGCTTCTACTGGCAGTTACTAACATTTGATTGGTTCTCAGAACAAGAACAGTGATTGACCAGGAAAGCTAGACATTACAAACCACTTCATAACTGTGTTTTTTATTTATATTAAAGTTCATATAACTTTTTTTGTATTGCAAATAATTGAAGTTTGTGTTTTGTATTGAATTCAGTAATAAATTCTCTTTAAAATGATATGTACAAGTTTGCATTTTGCGAAACGTAACATTTTCTATAAGCATACAAAGTTCAAAAACATAAAAATTTCCAAAAGTGTTCACAATTTGGGCCACCACTGTAAGTCGTGCTTTTGAGACATGAAAAACGAAATTTGAATTTTTCATGTTTCAAAAGCGTGACTTAGGATATGTATATCATCCATTCTACTTGGGATATTGACGAAATTCAACTTGCATTTTTCATGTCTAGAAAGCACTTACGATATGTATTAGATTTATATATAGCAATGTTCTAATATAGATATTTGGACACAAAATCAGACTTTTTTCTGAAATGACACATCAATTTTTTCCATATTTCAATTCTACGACTCAAATTACGCCAAACTACCAAGTTTTGTAAAAATGTTAGTTTTTAAAAAATTAGCTCTCAAAATTTTAGCTCCTCAATGTTAATTTATAACCAAAACT